GCGGCGAGGGCAGGCCGGGCGCTGGCTGCGGAGCGGAGGGCCGGGGCGCGCGGGGTCCACTCCCTGTGCCGGCTCCCACTTCACGTGTGACCTTGGTCGAGTCGCGCGATCACTGGAGTTGCAGAGACCTGGGTTCGAGTCCTGGGACTGCCAGCTTCTTCACTCTGTGACCTTGGGCAAGTTGCTTCGCCTCTTGAGCCTCAGTTCCTGCATCTGAGAAGTGGGGGACTTGCCTCGCTGGGTAGTGTATTAGGTGAGATGAAGTAGGCAAAGTGCTTGGCGTCTGAGCTGGTGTGTACAGGCTCTGAGTAAATGTTAGCTAGTGTCGTTTTCACCGTATCTTTTGTGAGGCTCACTCGTCTGTGAAATGGAGATATTCCTAGAACTCACCTCCTGGGATTGCAGTGAGTTTTAAACTGAGGTTTAAAGACAGTTAGAGCACGTCACGCTTGTGCTGGATTATTAAATCTCTGCATGGTTCGGTTTCCTCATCTGTGCAGTGCAGTAACGGTAGATCTGCCTCCCAGTGCCATGAGAGCGAGTATTCAGTGGATGGTGCGCACGTAGTGTTTGGGAACTGAGTCTAGCACACAGCAAGTGGTCTGTAAATGTTTTCTGTTACCCTGGTGTCTACCAGAGGGGTTTGGGGGGCGGCCGGTGTTACAGTAGTACAGCTACACACACACTACTTGAAGACTTCTAGCTCAAATCTCTACCCCCATCGCCAGTTTGTAGAACAGTACCTGGCACCCAGTGAGTGCTTAGTAGTATGTATTTGTTGAATGAATGAACATTGAGTGTCCTTAGCGAAGATAGACTGGTTACTCGCAGAGCGGGCAGGGTTTTAGAGGTGTTTGGAATATGATGGGTGAGCAGGTTTGTGGGTGACCAAGAGATTAAGGAGGCAGGGCCCGGAAAGTTTATGGGAGCATCGCTGAGGTGCTGGGATTATAGGATATCCAGGAAGGAGGCTTGGGTGCAGCTAAGTTTGTAGACCAAGCCTAAGTCGAGTGGAGAAGAGGGGGATGTGACTAGAGGCAGAGGCCAGGTTGGTTCCAGAACCCATGGACTTACAGAAAGAGAGGACCAGATTCCTTGCGAGACCCAGAATGTAGGAGTGGTGGGTGACAGTGTCATAGGTAAGTCATGAAAGTGGGTAGTGTTTGGTCTCACTTGTAAAGCTGGATTGGGATGTGGTTGGTTTGGATCAGGTGAAAGCTGGCTAAGGTTTCCGTGGTTGCTGGTGGAAGGGAGATATAAGGGGAAAAGTTAGGGGCTAACCAATGAGATAGAAGAGTAACTGTGCTTGGGAAGGGTTAGAAAGGTGGAGGACTGATTGGTTGTGGTTTGAATGAAAGGAAACCAGGCGAGCTGTGCAGTCTTGCACTTAGACATGACCTGTGGCGCTCCTGGGGTCCTGAGGCTTATGTCTTTCTTTATAGGGTTTGCTTTCCATTCTGGCCTTGGTTCTGAGTGGCTGGCACCAGGGTGATTTCTCCTGGAGTTAAAAGTCAGTCTGCTGTGGTCCAAGGTCTTCTTTATCTCTCCGCAAGCCATCTGGGCCCTAAGCGCTGATACCCAAAGGTGAAAGGCCTAAATCCAGCAAGAAGATGCACTTTGTTGGCTTTTCTTCCCTGTAAAACCCAGGGGATGATTTTGGCCTGCTTTCTCACAGTGCATTTTGCATGGTGTATTGATTTTTCACTCAGAAGTCAGGTGTGGGAGAAGACTCGTTGGGTCAAGATTTATGTGGTTTGGCTCCTAGTTCAGTCTGAGCCTGCAGGCCTGGGTTGTGGAGAGGAGGTAGATTGCTTTGCTGTTTGATTTCTCCCGACAGTGAGGTGAACTCAAAGCCAAACACTTATGAGACTGAGAGTTGGTAGCCATGGGAGTTCAAAGCAAGCTTTGCAGTTGAGCGGGGAGCTGACATCATCACTCTGGGATCCTTGTGTGTGTGCCTCCCTAAGGTCCATCCAATGATTTCACAGATACTCTCTCATCTGATTCTCACCCATTGCCCATGTGGTTTGTCAAATAAGGAAACTAAGGCTTAGAGGAGGTCACTGGTTTGCCCCAAGTCACAGTTTGTCCGAAGCCAAGCCAAGAGTTGGTGCACATCTGTGATATGTGTGTGAGAGCAGCTGGTGTAGGGCTGGCAGACAGTAGGCCCTCAGTTTCTTCCTTTATAAATCCAGAGTTCTTCCCACTCTGCCATATTGTACTTTGCAACATATTTCCTTAGCTTTTGCATCTCGTCTTCGTGCTTGTGGGTCTACATTGTCTCTTATGTTCTTCCGACATTGGATTTGATCTGTAATAGCATTTCATCTGTATACACTGGGCCATTAATGGTCATTCTTAGAACCTGGTGGCCATCAAAGACCTTGTTAAAGCCCTTCAGAGGCTCGGAGAGGGGAATGTGACTTGTCTAAGTTTACATGAGGGAATTGTTGAGGCAGGATTAAAATTGAGACCACTTCACTTGATAGTCTAAGGGTCTTCGGTAAGTTGGTACTGTGGGCGAGGGGCCTGTAGCCCCGTGGAGGAGAAGGGCCAAGGTGAAGACTTTAGTGTCGCTGGCATGAGGAGGACCCGAGGCAGCCCTCAAGGGAGCGTGACAGTGAGTAAGTGTGGTGTCCCTTGGCTGTCAAGAGGTGTGCAGTGCCACTAGGGCCTGTGCTTCTTGCAGGATAGGAGGTAATAGAGCTGGAGTGGCTGCATTTCATCCGGAATGTGGCTAGGGGAAGCTTTGACTGTGGAGAGGGTAGATTGGTAAGCTCTGCTTCTTTCTTAGGCCAGTGTTGTAGGGTAAGTGGTAGCAGTGTGCTTTCCAAGGAAGCCTCTCTTGCAGGAGTGTTTGGGAGATGGCATCTCAGTGGGTTTCTGTTTCTCTCAAAGGGAGAGCAGTGTCAAGAGGTTGGTGTCAGGTCCAGAGCAGGGGGCCATGTGATGATTGTAGTGGTTAGTGGTTTTTAGTTGCTGTTGCAGAGGAGTTTGGGGATAAATGGAGGGGCTTGCTTCAAATTGCACAGTTGTCAGAAGCTGCTGTGTCATTGCAGAGAGCACCTCTCCCTTGTCTGTTGTAGATATATGGGAGCTGGATAAAGTTTAATTTAAATACAAGATTCTACACCGCACTACCCTCCCTGCATTTAAAAACTGCTGTTTTGCCTTCTGTTAATGCTTCAGTAATACCATTAGATAGCAGAGCTGTCAGTGAGATTGGCACTTACTCAGTCATAAATGATGTGCCTAAGTGCTGGGCCCAGCTTACAGCCCTGTGAATGCACAGGATAAATGAGGCAAGGTCTGCATCCCAGAGGATATCACAGCCTAGTGGCCCAGACATGAGCTTTTTAGCTGAGTAAGCTGGACCCAGAAGGCTTTGAGAGGAAGCAAGGAGGCAGCAGGGCCAATGGGGTGTTGGCGCCAGGCAGAATGCTGTGAGGACCCAGCCCAGGACTTAGGCTCTCCTTAGGCTTAACAGGAAGCCTCACGTCAGAGCAACGAGGAAGTGGTGCTGAGCAAGAGTGCCGCAGGCCTGGGCTGCACAACAGGTGCCATGAGAGCAGTACCTGTCTGCTCAGGAGAGCCTCGCCACCAGCCCCTCTTTGGGAAGGTAGGGTCCAAGTGTATGCAGAGAAACAAGTTCTTCTGGGCATCCTGGACAGCTCATTCCGTGAAATCCCCAGAAATGATCCTTGGAGAGGACAGCCCAGAGAGGATGTTGGGTGTTGTAGTGCGCTCAGTCTGTAGTGGTGGTTTATAACTTTGGTTACTTGGACATTGGGGGTGGGGCTGTGCCCTGTTTGAGAATCAGATTAAAGCTATGGGCTTCTTCCACAAACAGGAACGTGTGCTCAGCTGCATTTGCATGTGCATAGTTGCAGGGCATTTATGAAATCGTAGGTTAAAATCTCATAGCTTTGATGTTATTTCCATTAAAAATTTCATCTTTACAAAAAGGAATATAGAAAAAGCAGGAAAACAAACTAGTTATAAACTAATAAAAATGGCAAAAAAACCTAACAGGAGCGAGATGTGGGCGCCCCACAGGTTGCCTTATTTTCCTTTCTTTTTTTTTTTTTTTTTTTTGGTTTTTCTCCGGTACCGGGAACCGAACTCACGACCTTGCGCTTGCCAGGCAAGCGCTTTTGCCACTGAGCTAAATCCCCAGCCCCTTATTTTCCTTTCTGAGGCAGCTGCAACACTTTCCTAGCAGTCGCTACTGGGAGTTAGTCAGTATCTGTCTGTCTGTCTGTCTCCCTTACTCTTTAGCTCAGATTTTGAAAGAGGGTCTTGCTATGTAGTTCATGCTGGCCTTGAGCTCACTTTGTAGCCCACACTGGTCTTGAACTCTTGCCGATTTTCCTAGCTCAGCTTCCCTAATGCTGGGATTACAGGTGCAAACCACCACGATCAGCTCTGAGAGCCCTGGATTTGGGATCTTGGCTCCAGGACTTCCTGTGGAGGCACTTTAGGCCAGTTGCTCAGATTCTTGGAGCCATAGCCACCTCATCTGAGGAGATGTACTTAATTCTGACTGTATCAGAATACCCACATGCAGTGGAACTTATGCATGTTAATTCTTTCCTTGAGAGGTTCATTGGTCCATCTGGACTTAGGGGCGGTGGGGTCATGGGTGGGCAGGAGGACCTGGGACCGGTAAATGCACATAACAGGCCAGAGTTGCTGTGTTGAGGTCAGGGAGGAAGCGGGGTTGTTAGAGGAAGAAGCAGCCATGAGCTACTGTACTAAAAGAGCCTGAGTGCATTAGGCTGGTGGCCTGATGGGTGTCTGGCACTGACTCGGCCAAGGAACACGGCTGACAGTTGGGTCCATCTGTATGGACCTCAGTTTCCTCACCTGTAGAATAGCCCTGATGATTTCAGGGATTCTTTATAGTTCTACAGTTCCTCGTTTCAAGGTACTTGAAAACTGAAGCTCCAAGGGTTAGGGTGTGATATGTACACATACTACCTCTCCACGATGAATATATTCATGTACTAATTTTTTAAAAAAAGAACAGCAGAAAAGAAAACTGAAGCTACATGTGTGGCGTGAGGTTTTCTAAGGTCCACATTTTGCATGCAGTTTGGGGGCCAGTCTCACTTGGTTGTCCTTCCTCCTACCTGTCTCTTGTCTGGTATTTCCCTCTGGGCTGCTGGGGCAGCCCTTAGTGCAGGGCCTGGGGATTTGGGAGCTGCTTGTCTTACATGAGGATGAAGGAAAAGGAAAGGGGGACTGGAAGTCTCATTCTTGATGTCTGGCTGGATGCGGGGGACAGGAAGTTGCCTTGAGAAGAGGCCTGGCCCTTCTGTATGGACCTCAGTTTCCTCACCTGTAGAATAGCCCTGATGATTTCAGGGATTCTTTATAGTTCTACAGACTATAGACTGGGTCTCTTAAGAGCGGGGACTGAGGCAGTATCTCACTGAGGAAGGATGGGGCAGGAGGGAGGGACCACTAGCTTGCTTACCTTGGTGCTTTCTATTCTGCAGGTGTGGGCAAGAGCAGCTTACTGTTACGATTCGCAGACAACACTTTCTCAGGTGAGTCTTTCCTTGGTGTTTCAGTTTTGAAATACCTTCCCCCAGCACTAGAAAACACTTGTTCCTCTCTATATAGGGAACTTTCTCCTTCTGGCTGCCAGGGGAGGGAAAAAGAGGGCATGAGGCTTAGGTCAGAACCCTTTGGTTAGCCTGGTATGGTGGCACATACCAGTAATTCCAGTTCCTTAGGAGGCTGAGGCAGGAGGGATCCCAAGTTTGAGCATAACCTAGACAACTTAGCAAGACCCTGTCTCAAAAATGAGCATATCTTTTTTTTTTGTTTGTTTGTTTTCCGGTACCAGGAATCGAACTCACGACCTTGTGCTTGCCAGGCAGGTGCTTTGCCGCTGAGCTAAATCCCCAGCCCCTCCTGTCTCAAAAATGAAATAAGGGCTGGGGATATAGCTCAGTGGTAGAATGTTTGCCTAGCATTTGCAGGCCCAAGATCATGCCTAGTTCTAAAGCCTGTGTGTTCTGCCTCAAGCCATCTTGTTCAAAAAAACCCTTTAGGGGCTGGGAATTTAGCTCAGCGGCAAAAGCGCCTGCCTGGCATGTGCAACGTCGTGAGTTCGGTTCCTGGCACCAGAGAAAAACAGAAAAACAAAAAAACAAAAAAACCCTTTAGCCCTCATCATTTCCCTTTCCAGGGGTGTCTTCAATCCACCATTTAAAACAAAGTTTAAAAATACTACGTGCTTATATAAAATTCCGAACAGGAAGATGTCAAGAGTGTGAAGAATGACAGTTGTCCCTGCTCCTGCCTGTCTCCTACCCTGAGAGCCTCTGCCTAATGTAGGGCATACTTTTGACTCTTCTGACTCCATCTGCTGCTTAGAAACTTGTCGTTCTCTTAGTCCGCAATCAGCAATGGCTTTTTAGAGCTTTCAATGATACAGACAGCGGGCAGTGAGCACTTTCAGTGATACGGACAGCCTGCTGTGGCATGCGTGCCATCGGTTTGCCACCACTGGAACTAGGAACGTGCTTCCCTGTTGCTGTCTACAGCCCTCTCTGGGTTTTTTTAGTGGTTGTGAAGCTTGCTGTGTTGTGCAGCTTGTTGCGCTGTGCATGGATGCACCATAACTTACTAACAATGCTCTTGTTATGTGTGTGGTTTCTGGTTGCTTCTGTTTCAAGTGATGCTGCATTACTGAGATACATTGTGTGTTTGTTCTGGGACTTGCAGTTCCATAGGAGTGGAGTTATTGGGTCACAGGATCTGTGCATTTAAAGTTTTTCTGGGTTCTGCTAACTTGTCTTTCAAAGATGCCAAGGGAATTTACATTCCCACTGAGGGGGTTGAAAATGCCCCTTTTCAACTCTGATTATTGTTTCATTTTTGCTAAGCTAATAGACAAAAAGTACTATTTTGTTTAAATCTGTATTTCCCTGATCACTGGTAAAGCTGAACATGTTCTTGTTTGTTACATATTAAGGACCAACTGTTGTTTTGTTTTGTTTTGTTTTATTTTGAGACAGGGTTTCACTGTGTCATTGAGGCTGGCCTTGAACTTACTATGTAGCCCAGGCTGGCCTTGAACTTACAGCAATCCTCCTGCCTCAGCCTCCTGAGTGCTAGGATTTTAGGTGTGTGCCACCATGCCCAGCCTTAAAGTGTGACTGTCTTGCGGGGAATTCCCTCTGATGTGTTTAAGGGGCAAGTTTTGCTTGGGAAGTGATTATATGGCTAATCTTCTCTTTTGGTAGAGAAATGGGTTTTGCTCTTTCCCCTGTCAGCAACAGCTCTGTAGCACTGCTGGTGTTGGAGTGTTGGAAAGAGTTTCTCTGTGACCATGAGATTGTGACTGAGCCTCAGCCGAGGTGAAAGGAGGACTCCTAATTGTCCCTGTGCCACGATGGTTGTAGGATCACCTGAGATAGCACATATCACAGTGCCTAAGGACTGGGGATAGAGCTAGTGGCACAAGTGCCTGCCTGGCAGGGGCAAAGTCCTGAGTTTGATCCCCGGTACCGCAAAAAAAAAAAAAAAAAAAAAAAAGTTCACAGTGCCTATAACTGAGTAGTCGTTTAATAAATACCAGTTGTTGCTGTTATCTTCTGTTTAAGAAAGTTAACTACTGGGCAGCCTCTGCTTATGCTGGAAAACATCCCTCTTTCTCCTTAATGGTGGTCTGACTTCCTGTTTATTTTATTTTATTTTTTGTCTTTTTGAGACAGGGTCTCGCTGTGCAGTTCAGGCCAGCCGTGAGCTCACTTTGTAGCCCAGGCTGGTCTCGAACTCGCAATGATCCTCCTGCCTCAGAGTCCCGAGTGCTGGGGTTACAGGCGTGTACCACCACGCCCGGCTTGATTTCCTGTTTAATCAGCTTTCAACTCTGAGGCGACTCTCATTTGCTGTCTCTCCTTTCCATGTTTTTGAGAGTGTTTTATCTCATTGGTTCTAGCTGGACGCATTATGGAAGTTCCTCCCCACCTTGTCCTGCACCACTGAGTTCATCTTGTCTGGCATAGTCTTTCCTTCTTGCAAAAACCTTGGTGGTCTTCTCTCATCTGAGCAGAGTTTACCGCAAGATTTTTCTCCTTCAGCGCTGCAGATACCTGGACCCCCGAATTCTGTGCTGTGGGGCTGTCTTGTGTGTTGGACATTGTTGCCCAGTATACCTGGGTTAGATCTAACCACTAGATGCTGACAACAGCGTGACAAACCAAAAATGTCTCTAGACTTTGCCAGGTGTCCTATGGGCAACAGAACTATCCTGGTTGTAATTTGTTTCCAGCTCTCTTCCTCATACTGCCTGCACATTCTTTTGTTTTTTGTTTGTGTGCTCGCTCATTCCCTCAGCTGTCAGCCGTTTACTGAGTGCCTCACGGGGGTCTGAGGTGCTGGCCCGCGCCCCTTGGCATTGGCCAGGACTGGAGGGGCACCAGGCTGGCTGGGTTTTTGGATGCCTTCTGGTTGGGCTTTGGCCTCTGTGTGGGATGTCTTTTCCCTGCGTGATCTTGGCCTTGGATAATCTTACCTGTTCTTTTAAACTAGGTCCAAATGGAATTCCTCCCCTATCCCAAACCTGCCTTGATCCCCACCCCACCTGGATCTTTCCTATGCACTTGTCACACTTTGCATGGTCTTTTGTGTGTCTTGTCTCCTGCGGGACGTTATGTGGTAAGCTCTGAATGGAGTGAGAACCTGTTTTTCTTAGTGGCCAGGCCTTTGTGAGCCTGAACTGGACTGTTGCCAGGCTTTCTCCTCAAATCCATCTTTCACACAAGGGCCCCAAAAGATCCATTTAAAATGCAGCTCACACCACTGGTTAAAATCCTCCCTGCATCCCCATGACCCACAAGAGTCCAGGTTCTTGAAAATGACAGAGGCCAAAGCTTTGACCTCCTCTGCCCGCTTCCCACCTTGGTCTTGACCTCATGTGACCCTACATATTCCATTGCTGTTTTCCTACTGTCTCCTCTGCCTGGAGCAGTGTTTTGGTTTTTTTTGAAAAAAAACTTTATAATTCAAGCTGACTTACGAACTTACTGTGTAGTCGAGGCTGGCCTTATACTCAGGGCAATCCTCTCAGCCTCTGGAGTGCTGGGATTACAGGCACGCGCCACCTGGCATGGTCCTTTTTGTGTGTTAGGAAGTCAGTTTTATGGGTCATTAAAACTTTTTTGAGTAGACTAGAAAAGAAACCCAGGTTGGACCCATTCTCAGGTCACAACTGACATGTCCTCACCTTGGCCACTCTGACAGAGCCTGTTCCTGCTCCCCAGTCGTATCCCTTATTTTATTTCCTTTGTAGCCTTTATCACTCTGAAATTGTCACCTGTTCCATGGTATCCTGTCTCACCTCCATTGTGGGTGCCAGCATGGCAGTCTGCATCTTCCTTGAGGGCTGTGTTCTGGGGGAACCTCGATTGTGTGGGGCATACGGGGGAGGGGTCATAAGGCCTGAAGGTCTGCCGTGCACACATCAGGACATGGGGTCTGTCTGGGGCTCCCTGCTGGGCCTTGCTGATGTGCCGGCTGTGTGCAGGCAGCTACATCACCACCATCGGAGTGGATTTCAAGATTCGGACTGTGGAGATCAACGGGGAGAAGGTGAAGCTGCAGATCTGGGACACAGCTGGGCAGGAGCGCTTCCGCACCATCACTTCCACGTGAGTCCGGCCCCGCCTCACTTCCACGTGAACCTCTGGCCTTGGATGTGTGTTGGCGTGAAGTTGAGTGACAGTACTGGTCACGATGGAAGTGTCACTGGGTGGGTCTGAGAGGTGGTCAGGAAGTGAGCTGTTTCTGGCCTTGGTGCGGGGGTTTGGTTGTGCTCTTCCTTTTCCTGACAGTGTGCGAGGAGGTGGGGGTGTGTTCTGGGTGGGCGGGCAGGTGGTGGCTGAGCATGCTGCTCAGGTGTCTGGCAGGACAGTGACCCTGTGCTTCTCCTTGGACACTCAGCTTTACCCTCTGGCTGACCACTCCGTAAAAGGGCACTCGCAGTTACATTTGCCTCACCAGGTGTGATGTGCCCTGCTCAAGTCAGTGACAGTTCCTCTTGGCAGGTGTTCGTGTTCCGTCACCCATCCTGACTCCTTGGAGGTGACTCTCCGGAGGCCTGGGAGGAGGATGGCTATGTGGGAGGTCTTTCCTCGGCCTCCCAAAGCCACTGATGGGGAAGTCTTCCTTTGCTGCTGCAGCACCTCTGTGGTCTTAGCTGGACACTGGAGCAAAACCCAGCTGCTGGAGTCCTGAGAGGGGCCCTTGGTGCTTAGACTCTTAATGGATCAGGTTTCAGAAGGAGCTTGGTTTGAAGGCAGACAGTTTGGGATTTAAATTTCTGTTCTGCTGTATCGTTGAGCAAGTTGCCTGAACTCTCTGTGCTTCTGGTTCCCAGAGGGTTTATCTTTGAAACTACTTGTTTTCCATACTGGCAATTGAACCCAGGGCCTCATGCATGCTAGGCAAATGCTCTACCACTGAGCTATGGCCCCAGAGCTTTTGTTTTTAAAGGAGGAGAGGTTTAATTTGGCACACTCCTAGCCTTTATCTGTAGAATTTATTCAAATCCTGACATCTGCGTCTGGGTCTCCTGCTTTGGGCACTCTGGGTCTGTGGGTCATCTTGAGGGGGCTCTCCTGTAGCTCTGTACCCAGTGTTGCTCTTACCTGTTTGACAGTTTGGGGCGCTTCTGAGAAGTGGTCTGCTCCCAGCAGTAGCAGAGCCTGGGCTCCACGCTGCCGTGCCTGCCAGTTGTGGACACCTCCTTACTCCCCTTGCAGAGTGGTTCCTCTGGGTGGAAGGGGGAAGTTTCCTTGCCAGAGACCCCAGTCCTTCCTTCAGCATGGAGTCAGCGTGGAGCCCAGAGTTCCCTCTGGCCCCTTAGCATCCTCTGATCACCCTTGTGGTGCCAAGGAGTGTGGGGGTCAGGGCTACTGGCAGGGCAAGGAGGAGGGCTAGCAGGGCTAGGTTGGCATACAGAGTATACTGCTGAGCACGATGTTCCCCGACACTGTTAGCCTTGTGGTGAGTCCAGAGCTCCCTAATACCTGGGGTTTGCAGACCTGGTACTCGCTGAGCACAGTGCTCTGAGCTTCCTGAGTGAGGGCTCTCAGGCCCTGGGTATATTGGCAGGGGCCAGTGAAGACTGGAGGAGAAGGGTAGGGTGTCAGGCCCCTTGAGGCAGGACTGACACGTAGAGCTGGGGGCAGCCTGGAGCCCACAGGTCCAAGCATGAGACCCTTGTAGGAGGTTGAGGTTGTCAGGTCTGGGCACTGATCCCACTCTTCCTTATTCTCCTTGTACTGTGTCACTAAAGGCATCACCTACTTTATTTCATTTCATCCCATCTGAAGAATCTTACGATTATCTCTATTTTATGGCTGAGAAAATAGGCCCAGAAAGGACAAAATGAATAACGGTTGCTTAGTCAGGATTAGAACTGAAAGGCCAGGGATATAGCTCAGTGGCACAGTGCCTGCCTGGCGAGCACAAGGTCCTGAGTTCGATCCTCAGTACCAAAAAAAAAAAAAGAATAAGGATCAGAACTGAGGTCTGATGCCAAAGCCCAGGCTGGTACTGCTCCACAGCACACCATGCACCGGGGCGAGGGCAGATGGCCTCCTTCCTGGGAGTTGAAGCCAGTTGGGGGGTTCGGGGTGGCAGAGGCAGTGGCCTGTGGCCATGGAAATGCTTGGGGCAGGGTACAGGTACTGGGGTCTGGGGTGTCTGCTTAGCCACCCCTTGTTGCCAGGAAGTTGGCTCCTTTCATGCCACAGCTGGGTGGGGACAGGGAACTGCTCCTTCCTTCTGTTGGGGAGACTTGGAGTTACTCAGTGGCCTGGGGGTAATGTGCTTTTTCTGGGGCGTTTGAGAAGCGGGATGACCTGTGTGGTGGGGGCCTGTGGCCAGTGGCTCAGACCCACTGGTTGGCCTGTCTGAAGAGCATGAGGTTTGGGCACATGTTTGGGTTGGTGTTCGGCTCCTCGTGAGGCAGGAGGAGCCGTAGGGCCCACCAAGGGGCCACAGAAGGACTGGACACCCGGTGACGGTACAACGAGGGGGCAGTCCTGGTGCAGGAGTGCGACCTTTTCTGACTCGGGTCGTGCAAAGAGAAACTGAAACTCTGTCCCATTAGCCTGATGAGAGAGCTCGGCCATTACCTGCTTGGGTGTTCTTGCTCTCTCCCCGGGCACCTGAGGTTTACTGGCTCCAGTGGGTGCAACTGGGGAAGGAGGCGGGGTGCAGGGAAGAGGGAAAGGGGATGAGGAAGGAAAGCCCCTTGCACTAACTTGGGAGTCAGAGTGGACACCAGCACTTCAGCTGTCACCCCACTGTCAACCTCATGGGGTCCTGACTGGCGAAATGGCCATCCTGATAACCCGACCAAGTTGTTAGATTAGTAAGGTAGGGAGTGCAGAGCTGCTGGTGCTGTGCGTGGCGTAAAGCAAAGTTGAGGATGGAGGTGCTTCCTGCTGGGAGTGGGAAGCTCAGGAGCGCTGGCACCCTCCTTGCCAGAGCTGAGGGTGACCTCATCTTCAGGCTTGAGCCCTGCTCTCAGATGCAGCCCCTTCCGTGTGCCCCAGAGCAGGTGCAGCTTCCCGGGGAACAGCAGGGGGCTTTGTGCCACAGTGGCTGGGGCATTGCTTGGCACTGGTAGTCGTCTTCACCAAAGGAGAGGGTGCGGAGGCAGCCTGCTGCTCGTATTTCCTTTGCCGGCAGGGGACAGACATCTGTCCTGTCCTCGTGGCTCACAGCGCACGTCCCTTCACCTGCCCGGGACGTGTCTACCAAGCTGCTCGGCGTGCTGAGCCGGCGCTCTGGCAGCAGCTGCGGTGGGCCAGCGCCCGGCCCGGCCTGTTCTGGGCCCAGAGCTGAGAAAGTGGACTTGCTGAGTTCGCCCAAAGCCAGGGCACCCTGCAGCCCTGGAGCACAGCTGTACAGAGTGAGGCCCGGGGAGATCGCTGTTGGGGTGTGAGGGGGGAGAGATGACGGACAGGTCAGACTGGACCCCGGAACGTGGTAGCGGCTCCTCTCGCTCACTGCAGCCTTCAGGCTGTGCTGCCTCTTGGTTTCCTGATACCTCTGTGACCCCAGACTGACATGGAAGAGACATTAACAGTGATGATAAAGGGTACCCACACTGACTGTATGACTCCCCAGCCCTCGTGGTGGCTGGTGTTCTTTTTTATTACTCACACCCACTCCAAGAGTTAAGTGGTTATGTCCCTGTTTTAGTTCAGGAACTGAAGTATGGTAAGGTGGAAGCAGCCGTCTTTGTAATGTCCGCAGCCTTTCGTAGACGGAGCCAAGGCTGACCTTCGTGCTCACATCAGCCTTGATTGCGCAGAGCTGGCCACAGAGCAGGCAGGCAGATGGAGACCGCGCTGCCCCCATCAGCCTGGCCGCCGCGTCTTGGCTCAGCCCGTAGTGCCCTGAGCTGCCTCAGGATGGGCACAGGGAGGAGCTGCTTTCCATGACTGCGTGCCGTAGGAGTGGCTCAGGGCTGGGTAGGTATTGGCTAGAAGGTTGGAGGAAGCAGCCTGTCCGCTCTGGTGTGCATTCTAGCGTAACAGGAAGCCCCCACCGATTGAGTCTCTGGGCAGAAGGCTCAGAGGCACCACACTGGGGTCGCATAGTGTCAGGAGCAGGGGTGCTGCCTGGCCTTGTGTCTGTGAAGGGTGTCAGGGAAGCACAAGGCCCTCATCCTCCTGTTCCTCCTGTGGTTGGTGTCCTTCGTCTGTCACCTGAAGATCCGACTAAATGAAGATGTCCAGACTGGAGTTCTGGGTCGCAGGTGTCTGGAGAGGCATGTTTGACATCTTCCCTCCTGGCGGCTCCCTCTTACGGGTGGGCTGGAGCCTCTGTGCTCTCCTTGTTGCTGCCAGGGATGAGCCAAGAGTGGCAGGAAGGGAAGTGTCACCTGGCCCTGGGGGAGGGGACGCAGACTGCCAGGGCTTCAGAATGGTGCAGCAGCTTGGGATGGTGTATTACCTAATCAGACTTGAGGAGAGAACATTTTTGGATGTTTAAACAAGGATAGTGATAACAATGTCAAATACAGGAATTACCTGAATTCTAAAAATAAAATGAGAACTTCGTAGAGTTTCCGTTTGGTGGCAGACTCCGAATCACCTAGGATGACTCCTCAGACCTGGTCTGCTGCCCCACTCCTGAGCTGGTGGTGGTGGGGGCAGGCATGAGGAGCCGGTGTTGCCATAGGGTGCCGGAAAGTACCCCCTTGACTCCCCGAGTCTGCTATCCTGCTGTGGGTTGGGATGGGCTGCTCTTGCTTGGGCTAAAGCCTGCCACCTGCCCTTACAGGTATTACCGTGGGACCCACGGGGTTATTGTAGTGTACGACGTCACCAGTGCGGAGTCCTTTGTCAATGTCAAGCGGTGGCTTCACGAAATCAACCAGAACTGTGATGATGTATGCCGAATACTAGGTGAGGCTGGGCTCTGAGGGCAGGGACAGTGGGATTGCCGGCCTGAGGGGCCAGCTGACTGTATTCTGTCTTCAAGTGGGCAATAAGAATGATGACCCTGAGCGGAAGGTGGTGGAGACAGAAGACGCCTATAAATTTGCTGGGCAGATGGGAATCCAGCTGTTTGAAACCAGTGCCAAGGAGAATGTTAACGTGGAAGAGGTGAGCCTTGGGCAGAGCCGGGTGGGTGGCAGGGCCCACATACTTCCTGGGAGGCTGCCACTGGTCCGCTTCACCACCACAGCCCTCGCCTGACTCCCAGCCTGCCCGGGTGTCAGAATGACCTATAGAAAGTACCACAGTAATGAGCATTTATTAAGTGCCTGCTGTCTGCCAGGCCTTGTAAGAGTCTTCGCTTATATATCAATAGTCCTCTGAAGTAGGCATTTCCTCCCTCCCTTATTTTGGTAGGGAAACTAAGGTCCTAAGTGTTTAATAATTTCAGGAATATCACTCAACTAGTAAGGGGCTGAGTCAGCTTTGATCTGTCCCAACCCAAAGCCATGCATGGTTTTTGTTCCAGCCCTCTGCCTCATTGGTGCCGCCCTCATTCCACCGCTGTCACCTCCTCCTGCTTTCCTATGGCCTCCTGAGCTGGGCCTGAGGTGGGCCTGCTGTGAGCTCCTGAAACGCTCCTGGAGATGCTCAGCCTCTGCAGCCTGGCCAAGCCTCTGGCCCAAGGCTGCCTCTCTTGGCTCTCGCTGTGCCCGTTGGAAAGCATTTGTGATCCAGTATGAGAAAAGCCAGAACTTTTGGCACAGCGCAGCCTGGCCCCACTCGCTGGCCTTTGGGGAGTCCTGCCTTCCCATGTGCAGAGTCCAGAGGCCCCAGGGAAGTCAGGCTCCACTGTATGACGGGGCACGGGGTGGACAGTGGTGGGAATATGGGGTTCTCCAAGCCAGGGTCCAACTCCTGGACTCGCCCTCTCTTGGCTTCATTTGTTCATCTGTGGATTTGGGGGAGTCAGAGTCTCCACCTTCCAAGTTTCGAGGACTGAGATGAATTAATTAAGTGCTCGGCACGAGGTGCGTGCTTTAGGACATGTTTGTCCTGCTTGTTTTAATGTCCCTGCTCCCCTTTGTGCTTGTGGCTGCCGTTACTTGTCTACGAGTAGAGGAGTGTGGATCAGTAGATGGAGCGTTACTGGATGCTGGCGAGGGAAGGCTGTTGGGTGCTTGGCACGTCTGGGCCCCAGGTGTAGTGAGGTGGCACGGGCTGAGTGGGCTGTGGCCCACTCCCGCCCGCCCAAAGAGCAGGGTATCTTTGTCCGTCTTGTCAGAAGATTCCGTTCTTCCTCTCTACTAAAAAAAGGTCGGAAAACCCCCGAGAGGTTGACTTCCCCAAGTCACACTGCTCATGGGTCTGGTCTTTAATGTTCCCTTTTGACCTTTGATAATTCACAGCCTCCTCCTAGAAAGGGTTTTGAGGACATACACACAAAACGCCTTACAAACAGAAACAGGGCTGGCCCAGGGGAGGTGGGCGTGCTGGCTAGCGGGGTCCTCCCTGCTAGGTCTGAGGCAGCTGTGCTGTGTCATCTCTCCAGATGTTCAACTGCATCACAGAGCTGGTTCTGCGAGCAAAGAAAGACAACTTGGCGAAACAGCAGCAGCAGCAACAGAATGATGTGGTGAAGCTCACGAAGAACAGTAAACGAAAGAAACGCTGCTGCTAATGCCCCAGTCCACTGCAGAGACTGCACTGTGGTCCCTCCCCCAGCCCGAGGCCCACGGGGGCTCCTCGGGGGACAGTCTCAGTTTTGTGCCGTTATTTAAAGAATTCTCTCCATGTTTTTGTATTGGGAGGCGCCATCGGCACTTCCTCCCCCATCCCCCCCCAGTGCCAAGAAGCTGTTGGAGGAGCCTGCCCTTCCCCACTGGTGCCCTCCTCCCTGCCGAGGCGCCTGGACCTGGTGAGGATGCTGCCAGCGGAGCGGACTGATTAACCAGTTTGTACATAGTGTATATTGCTTTAACCAGCTGCACACCCTCGTCCTGCTCTGGCTTTTGCCTCCTTAATGCCAGCCTGCTGCAACAGACCCTCCCCTGGCCCTCCTATCCCACCTAATGGCCAGCAGCTTCTGGAGGAGACGGCATCATGTTCTAAAGCGTCTTGGGCTGGCCTGGGACGGTGGAGTGGGCTCCATGTTGCTCATTCTTTCCTGCAGGCTGACAGCTTCAGTCCCAGGCATACAGGGTCTGACCCCTCTCCAGGGCCTGCGCCCATTTTCCTGCCCCCACAGTTGTTCTGGGAGCTGGGGAAACCTGGCCTTGAGGCAGTCATCGCCCTCTGCTGGCCCCAGGCCTTTGGTCCCACAGAGGAGGAAATCAGTCCTACCCTTTGGCCAACAGGTTTCTTGTCCTGCCTCCTGGACACCTCTGCTAGAAACCCAGGGGAGCCGTGGCTTCTACCTTACCAACATGTTTCAGTTCCAACAGAAAGGTAGGGGTGTGTCCGTGCAGAGACTGGGCTTGCTGGAGGCTAGAGGAGCATTATCTTAACAGATAAAGTGAAGCCAAATCAAATGAATTAAGTTCCTCACCATTATTTTCTTTCCCTGAGGTTTGACTGGAACAGCAGCAAAAGTTGTGATCACCCTACTTTGGGTCCAGTGTTTTTAGAAAAAGTGAATTGCTTCCTGTCATTGTGGGGCTGGACTCTTGGCCCTGAGAACAGAAAGGGCATTTGCACCCTTGTCCACGTTGGCGCTCCCGGGGACAGTGTGTGTTACGCACCTCTGAATGTGAGGGTGGGTGCCGGGGCTGCTGGACAGTGGGGTGACACCTCTGAGCTTGGATCACTGACTATTTCAGTACAAAGGTAGTAGGAAGACTTCTCAGTGGGACATGAAAAGTGGCAGTGCGGCTGGTGACAGTCCAGTTCTGTGCACCCCAGTCCCCTGGAGGAGAAACCAGTCACCTACATTTGATTACTGTTCCCCTCCTTCCCTGGGGGGGTACTTCGTTCCCATTTCCCCTAAAAGGATCATGTAACCGGGTAAGAAATTATTTCAACACCACAATGTTTTATTAAATTTCCTTTGCTGGGTGATTTCCAGGCAAAGCCCTGATTGGACAATCACATCACAGATCACACTGCAGATTTTCCATGTTAACACTGTGGATGGGTTTTTAATCAATAAAAACGGGGTTTCTTCTCACCTGTCTCTCCACTTGTCCAAACCGTCAGAGCCAGGGTTCTGAGCTAGAGAAGTCTTTGGAGCCGCTGGGATTGGGGCGCTGTGGGCCTGAGGTGGTGGGCGCCCTGGAGGTGTTGCAGGTGACCCATCTCTTCCGGAGGAGCCAGGAGAAGCAGGTGTCCGTGCTCAGGGCTGTCCTGGCTGACGGGCCTGTGAGGCTGCGCACAGCTCAGGGCTCCTGTAGTCATGGGGTTGTACTTGTCTCTGAGCACTCAGGTGAAGCCAGTGTGGGAGTGCTTGCACTTTCAAGCAATAGGAGGGTGATCCTGGGAACTTCCAGCCCAGGCCAGGAGCCTGGATGACTTCTGGCACCTGGATGCCCAGGCCCAGGTTGGGGGCGGGGTGGTGAGGACAGACTGTCTGTCCTGCTGAGTGTTACACGCATGAGTGGGGGTGG